TAGTACATACATCTCATTACCAAATGGCCTGGAGCATCTCAGTTTAATGAGGATCACACACTCAGGTGTTCGGTAACATCATTTTGTGTTTGTATTTAAAATTCCTCTCTATCACCATCAGCGTGAAAGTCCTGTACCTGGCACTTACCCTCCAGTTTGATTACATATCCTGCAGGAAAACATCTGGAAAACATCTGAGCAAATGTGAGTGTATTCATGTTTCTGTACTTTGTCTCATCACTCATCTTTGACAAGATATGTCCCTTGTTTGCATGAATCTGGACTTTTCAATCTTCCTGTTCATGTAAGATTTTACTCTGCTAACGTGTCTCACTTATGTGATTCATTGCCATTCAAATAAATCTTCTATTTTGAAGCAGCACTTAATAGCTACAGAAGTCTGGGTTTTGGCTCCTCTTCTGCTCAGTAACACCGGAACTGGTTTAGCATCTAACGCTGGTGGTTTCTACAATGACTCGTGTGCCACAATCCCCGACAACGCTACGGTTGTCTGATGACAAACACCTGTATATGTCATCAGCTATCGCTCTTCGTGACTGCTTGACTGCTCGACCCGCGACACCGCTGAAACCATAACTCCATGACAATCGCGCAATAGATTCCCCCGGAGGGTTTCAATGACCAGCCTGAGACCCGCTACCGCCTCTCTGCTGCTCATCTGTCACATGGTTTCAACACTGGTGGTGGTGACGACCGTTCCCTCCAGGTCAGCTCATCCACCAAGCACCTGATGCCGTGACTCTCGGTTCTAATGCTAAACCAGAGGCAGTGCTCTCTCAAAGGAAATCTGAAATGACTGGAAATGACACCATGTTTAGCTCTAAGGTTTAAGTGGTGTAGCACAGATGTTCAACCCCAGGTTTTCTAAAAAGTATTTAAAGAAATCATTTTGAGGAGGAAAGGGTAGCTGGTTACAAAGGGAGGCTGTTTATGGACATTGCTTCATTTAATTTCATATTTCAACCAGTCTAGAAAAAGTAAGGAGGGGAGCTTTTCTTTAAAGGCAGTGGGCTATATTTCATTTCTAAATTTAAAAGTAAGCCCATAATGGTACCGTCAAGCAGTGCTAGCTTTGTTTGTCAGTCTTTTAATCTTGTCATTTGATGAAAAGTCTACTAATAATGGGGAGACTGGTTTCGTTTCATTTCTTGCACAAAAGACTTTTATCACTTCACCACAGGTTGATTACCACTGAGGAGGGTGGAGGTATAAACATGATACCTTTCATCATCAGTGTTTAAGAAACATTTACGCTGTGTGACAGTATGTGATTGTCTTCAATCACTGAGCTTGAGGTTGGTTGATTGATGATTTTTTAATTGCAGTGTCTAATTAGTTCACTGATTTTCTTTGTTGCTGCAGCACCATGCTGCCACGGTAATTTGCTGCCAACAGGTGGGGAATTTGGAGTCAATGTAGCTTAGAAAGCACATCAGGACGTGAACGTGGCGGTGACATAAACTGCACTGAACAACTGCCGCCTGCTCTGTTTTATGTAGCTTCACTGCTTTGTAGGCAGACAAATCTCTTTATGTGTTAGCTCCTCCTTTCAACACCTGCTTCTCTTTTCACACAACCAAAATGTGTGAAAAGACAACTTGTTGTCATGTTTACTTTTGGTTTTCAGAGTAAAATCCCTGGCTTCAACATAAACTCTAACTCATATGTTCCTTAACCGCTATATGTGTTTGTTAACATACTTTTTTTTCCCGGTATTACATTGGATGTCGGACAAAACTATGTCGTGCCAAATGAGTTGTAGTTTTGCACATGGGAGGATTCCTAAACGGGGCAACCGGGCACAGGCCCAGAGCCCTCTGTTTGAAGTGGCTGTAAATTTTTTTTTAGTGGAAAGTCAAACGAGTACAAGGAGATGATGAACTACAAAATGGCTGCAGACACAGAATGACCACGAAGAGATGCAAAAGAAGAAACAACGATAAAGAAGTTCAAACGCATGACAACGAGACGGCAAACAACCACAAAAAGATACAAAGCGACTACAAATGCCTTTTGTCATTTGCAGTGTTAAAAAAAAAAAAAAAAAAAAAAAAAAAAAAAATCTTCTCATCTCATTACTGTCCAGGCCTGCATCCACCTCACCCTCAGATCCTCAGCTCAACTCAGGCTTAATAAAAATAACATCATTATCAAATAAAATCAAACTTTTATATACGTCTAAACACTCCTCCTGAGTCTTAACTGTCCAACAGCCCTGAAGCAAAATAAAGTCAAAATTGCTTGAAGAATATATAGAGTCTGACTTCCAGGAACTTTCATGTGCAAATATCAGCTTCTTCCTCTGCAGAACTTCAAGACATTCAACTCATTTTGTTCATATATCTCACTCTCCCTCAGGCCCTTCACAGCCCTCTGTCATCGTGTGGAGTATTATGACAGAATAAAACGATGTGAATGTTTAGCACTCGCTCTACACTGCTTGTTGACGTGTGCTGGCATGTGCTAAGTGGAAAACAGCGTATAGAGTAATGAGGAACACAAAGGTGCAAGGGAAATACAGTCATTGAAGAATTGGCTTCAAAATTCAACAAAAATATAGTTTAGTCCTTGTTTAGCACAAGAAACGCATTGAAAATCCTCAGGAATCAAAACATGGCGATCAAGACGAGAAATGATCCGGGTGACTCGGTGTATCTGACCACTAAAGACCCCGTCTCCACTATCAGATTCAAGATTATCTCAAAAAGAAAAGGAAAAGGAACCCAATACAATTGTTAGCCAGCACACACAAATATATTTCATACGATATGGAAGACAATTTAATGGTAATAGATGATGATCATGACTCTGATTCAATTGATCGCCAATCTTTATAATCTAAAAAGATGTTCTGAAATTGGAAAAAGAAAAGTCAGTCAACATCTATTAATCCCTAGAGCATGAATATGATCAGAAAGTCCAAACATCCCACAGCTTGACAAAAACTGAATTACCGAAAAAAAAGAAAAAAAAAAGGGAATGACATTTTTTGGAGAAAACAGCCTTTCTTTCTATTTGCAGGTTATGTACAAACATACTTTCTTTTCCTTATCCACAACCTCCACAGCTGGTTACAGTCTATCAGATATTGCAATCTAATACCTGCAGATTTTCCTGAGCCAGGTATATGGCAGACTTTTCCAAATCCCCAACTGGGATTAGAGCCAGCATGGAAAACTAAACCTCTTCAGGTAAATCCCCTGCCCTCACAGGGTCAACAACATGTCTCTTATAAAACTGGTAAAAGGTCCTGTGACAACAGTTATTTCTTGTCGTTCTGTTATATGTAAAACACTGGAAGACTAATCACCATTTAATAAGCAGCTTAAAACGAAGCAAAGAAATGTAAGCACAATCAGAAATCTCCTCTAGTTCCTCCGAGCTCACCTTGTTCAAATAATTCTCTTCCTGGGACGATCGTTCTGCTGATTCAGGTGTTTTGAGGAGAATCTCAGTAGGAAAGGTCAAACTCTAATTATAATGCAGTGGTGTGTGATCACACACTCTTCACTGCCCATATCTCAGCAATATAAAGTACAGTGGCCCAGCTGCAGACGCAGCTGCACGTCGCTGCTGCTAAATGCAATTCATCATGTGTTATCATCTCACCACGCCGCTGCAGTGATTGAGTGTATATAGAGTGCATTCTTATGTGCTGCGTGGTTGTGTGTGCAGGCGCCTATGCAGATGTGTTTCAGTGGCATATTCCAGACTGATATTGTAGCTGGACTGTGACCAAACATCTGCCAGATGTGAGAGAAGCAGGTTCTCCCCCAACTATAAGGATTACAGAGGAGACAAAGTAGACATATGACGCATAGTGAGGGCTGTTGGATGGAAATGACTTACGTTCACTGCCCAGCTTATTACAATGACAGTTTTTTTTAATTTAATAATGGCCACTGTCAAAGTAAAATAGTAAAAGAGTCATTTGTTTATCATTATTCTTTGTTCACTTTGTTATAATTGTGTCCTTTCAGAACAAACTCTGCAGTTGTATTTGAATGTGGGGAAATGAAGAAGGTGAAAACATCAGTCTGATGCACTCCAGATGTTCAGTGTTGAGACGTCTTTTCCCTGGCATCTGTAACCAGACCTGATGGGTTATGCGAGTGACCGTCAGTTTATGGCTTCTCTCCAGGTTGTTTATGGGGAAGAAGCCAATCTTGATCTTCAATCTTTGTTTTAAAGAAAAGTATAAATTACACCTCTGCCTTTTGTTCGAGGACGTTCTCCCCTTGGTTTCAAGGCTGTCAGGTACCTGTGAACAATGCGCTTGTATTTCCTTAACCACCAGTGTTTTTTGGGTTTATTTCTGTCCAGAGTGTTTGTCTCTAAATGGAGCAATTTTTTCTGCAACAGTGCAAAGCAAAAACAAATGTGTTGGCGTTAAAAGGACTATGACGACGTGGCTATACATTTTTGCTACGTGCAGTTTTAGATCTTTACGTTTTGTTTATGTTAAACTGGCTATAATCAATATTTACATTCGTTCACATTCATTCAGCTGCAAAAGAGCCACATATTTTCCACAGTAGTTGTGAGGAGGGTGAGGAACATTGAACTTGCTATTCACCAGGCGGCCAGAAACACAACTCCAAATGAATGCTAATGTTCCCGCGTATCTACTGGGTGTGTAAATAGAAAAATGTTTGCAAACAAGTTTGTCACATCAACTTAAAAGAGGATGTCAGTGTTGTGCTCAGAGCTTATTTTGGCTGCCTCCAAGATGCCAAAAAACATTGCAGGTTTAGACTAATGTGTGGTAATGGAGTACAGTTTTTTATTTTTTTCGTTTTTGATCATTCTGTGTTTAAGCTGAGCCAATAGATTTTAGATGTCTGGAACTTTAATGTTTGTTGTCTTAGTAGACATGTGCAAGTGGATGTCATGTCACAGAAAGAATCTTTTAATAGCTTGGATACATAATTATCACAGTATCCATGGCCACAGCATGCATTATCCACACGATTCCCTACCTTGCCAAGTATTGCCCTGAGCTGCTGTTGCTCTGTTGTACATCCATACAGTTAGTAGTCCCAGGTATGAGCGCCAGGGCGGGATTCTCCTGGGCTGCACTGCCCACCGCCCTCGCCACCAGCGCCAGTGAGTCGTGGACGTAGTGATCCAGGGAAGGGGACCCCATGACCCCGTGGGCCAGAAGCCCCAGCGGCAGCCCCTCTGTTCTCAGCTCTGCCACATTCTGGCTGTCCCCCAAGATCCAGTGAAAGTCTGGGAGCGTCATCCGAGTGGCGAGCGTCCACAGACGCCGCACCTCCCGGATATCGCACCCAAATGTCACCACCCCCGTTGTGGATGAAGGTTCTCTCAGGGCCTCCAGCTGCCGCATGAGAGCTTGCTGCTGGTCCGATTTTGAGGAGGAAGCGGATGAGGAAGCGGGGGCCGAGGCAGCGGAGGAAAAATAGGGTAAAGACGGCAATGACGATGAAGCGTCCGCTCCCGTTGCGACGCCCGTTGCCAGTCCTGAGGATGACGGCGAAGATGAAGACGGTGATAAGGTTGAGGCGTTAGTTGTCAGGTTGACAAGAGTGCCCAGGTGGAAGCGGGTGTTGTTTTTGATGAGTGAAAGGAAGTCGCTAATGTCCCATTCCTGGCAGAGGAGAACGCTGATGTCCCACCAGCCGTTCATCATCAGCAGGGAGTAGAGCAGACGGGATGGTGGGGCCTCCACGGTCCGCATCGCCACTTGGAAATGGAGAGGATTCTATGAGGAGATAGAAAGAGGGGAAGGGGTGAAATGGGAGATGAATAGGCAGATAGGTGAGAAAGGTTTACACACAGGAAGAGGAAAACAAATGGGGAGGGTGAAAGGACAGAGAAAGAGGAATGTGAGATAATTTGGGAAAGGTGAATTAAAATGTAAATTTAACAAGAAAAGAAGGGAAAAGGTGTACAAGGGGATAGGGTGGGGAAGATTTAAGAGATTAAAAAAATGGATGGATGAGATATGAGGAGAGAGCACAGGGAACGGGAATGGAGAAGATGGGATAGAGATGAGGGACAGTTAAACAAATAAACAAGAGGAGATGGAGAATATGAAAAGGTGAGGTTGATGGGAGCGATAAACAAATGGAGGACAAAGGGTTGGTCAGGGTCAGTTGGATTTCATTGAGGGCAGAGAGATAGGAGAAATAAAGCATTAGTGGATGGGTTCGGAATGAAGGGGTAGATTGTGAGAAAAGAGAAAGATGTGATGGGGAAAAAAGGGTGAATGATAAAATAAGGGTAACAGAGGAAGATGGTGGAGGAGGGAGCGGGGTGCAATGTTAAAGGAGAGGAGAGAAGGTTAGATGGGAATAAGATTAGGAGGATGGGCCACCAGGGAGGAGGAACAGATAGAGTAGAGAGGAAGAGGAAAGAAGGAAAGACAGAAAGGAAGAAGTGGAATTACTTTCTCTCTTAGAATTCAACTTGTTCGTTGTTCCAAACACAGCCTGCTGGATATAATGGATTTCAGCCTCCACTCACCTGCTCCCATGAATATCATTATTCACATCATAAGGAATACTGTATATCTATTTTTGCGTGTACAGTCTTTGTACTTTTAGCTATACCTAAAACCTAAAGAAACACAACTGGGCACCGTTTAGAAAGGGTCTTTCACCTACTGAACTCCACGTAATTGACACATTTTCGGAAATTCATCAGCTGATTCATGAGGGCTGGACAGATCAATGAGTACCAGCACGGCACTGGCCTGTGATTTCCACCTGGACCTTGGATGATGAGTGTGTGGTCTCATGGTGCTGCTGTCAATGAAAACCATTCATGAACTGGCCAAATGTCCGAGACAAACTAGCGTGAGACGTCTGATTAATATGCTTTGTTTGGAAATATCCAAAATGCATTTTGGCAACAGCCTCACCAAAGGCGTAGACATTTCAGATATGATTTACATTGTTATTCATTATGTTCTAAGGAGCATACAGCTCATATTAGCGTACATGTGTTAGCCCATGAGGGGAGAGTGGTGCATTCTTTATTTTGCCATTGACCATTTTCCAAACTATGTAGTGAATTTTTATATTGATTTCCTGCCATCCAGACAGTGGTTGGTTTATTTTCAGTATTAAATCCCCTCCTGGAGCCTGGACATTTGCTTGAGCTAGCTAATCCAAAGTGAAGGTCCATCATCTTTTATCTATTTCTTTTAGTCACAGTTAAGGTAATCTTCAAGCTGCAAGCAGGGATCAGGTTCAGAGGTCTCCTTGGTTGGTGCATAGATGACTTTGTTATCAGAAAATCAACCTGGGAGACAGTTGATGAGTGAAGTTATTGTTCATCAAGCGACTTTCAAACCTGAAATGTTGGGGTGTTTTCAAACACACCATCAGTGAGAGTTTTCCAACTCAAAATGCAGAAATACAGAGGGTTCTCTTATTCTTGCTCGACTGTTTTGCATGTACAGGCCTGAAAAATACATATGTATCATGTTTTATTTATTGCATTGGTCAGGGTAAATAAATCCTAGATCCACAGTTGTCTTATAATGTGCACTGTACACAGTTTTATATACAAGGAAACAACAGTGTTGCTCACTTGTAGAATGTAGAAGAAATTTAAGTTCCAGGATAAATTCTGAGAAGTGCTTTACACAACATTTGTATTTATCTGATGCAGCCGAGTCATTAAGAATCAAATAAATTGCATCGTATCTGGAAATCAGAACTGATATCCAGCCCTAGTGTCAAGCACTGATTTTCAAACTGTACTGAAATAAAGCTGGACACAAACTTATTGAGTGCTTTAGAAAACAGAAATGTAAATTACAGCTAATTTGTTGGTATTTGGTAAACGGACAAAACCACCAAATTGGGTCCACTGCCTCCCTCAGTGCCATTATGATCAGACCAGTGCAAACCCTCTGTATCCTACGCATACAGTGCACTACACCACCAGAATTAAAGTAAGCCAGAAGATCAGAGCGGATACGCTTCAAAGCTGACACAGTCATCCCTGTAATGCTTCAGATAAAATTAATTCAGGCTGCATGAGCTGCCAGTTCTGCTTCAGTGTTCCTTGGCATACTGTACCCAGCCCACAACATGCCAGTCACCCAGGTAATCAATCAGTCATGCACTCGCACACACACACACACAAACACACGGAAGTGCACATACTTACAAGTCGACTGACAACTCTGTTTAATTGACTTACAACTTTTACACAAGCTTTGCATTAACGGTCCATCAGATTTATCTATTGGTTGATTTCATTTATCCCATTAATCACTCTAGCCAATAGACGTGCAAATAAGACGATCATTATTCACCTTCTTGTTGCATGTACACAGATGGATTTTTTGTTGCAAACAAAATCAATATAATACATGTTGTTTTATTTCAAATGCAGAAGTCCTGTTTCAGAGAAAGAAACAGTAACACAGTCCGCGGGGCATCAGACTCCCACCTCCTCTCAGGAGAATTGGAGGATTTATTCTCAGCTGCAGCACTTCTGCACTGTGATCACCATAAATCTGTAACCCTCTCTTTGTTCCTCATGTAAATAAACAGAAAAAAAAAAAAATAGCTGGGAAGTGCGGATGACTGCTCCCTTACATAAATACAGAGATCTGTTGCTTTCGATGCACCAGGAAATCCCAGGTCTGCTGTCACTGCTCTCTTTCATCCTTCGTCTGTCTTCAAAACTCTTTTTTTTTTTTTTTTTTTCTTTCTGTGATTTCCACACAAAATACATTTACTGGGAGTTTTTGAGGCGAAGAAACTTGCAACCCTTGCTGTATGGTAAAACTGCAGCGCCTGGCAGAATCATGAGCCAGTGGACAAATCAAATAAACTAGTAATGACTTGAATATCGATCGTTTCTTGATTAGATGATTCGTTGTGGGCAAAAGGTGAAAACAGAATAAAATGGTTCATATAGAATTTTACTTAAGTAAACATATAAAAATCTGTTCCGTACTCGCAGTAATTTACTGAAAAAAAAAAAAAAAATCTTGCAGATGTTGCAAAACTAACGTCTCGAGGGGTCTCACTATTGTTCTTTCTCACAGCAAAATATCCCTACAGCCCCCATCCCTTAACTCCATGAAGACCTTCCCATGGTTCTTAGCCTTTCATCCAACTGGCCTCTTTATGTCACTGCTAACATTATTTATGAAGGGACAAAGAGAAACTCCGCTAACTCCCCCTACAGTCAGCAAAACCCTATCATTCATCTATTATCACTGGATAGAAGCTCTGGACATAATTACTCCAATCTCTTAATCTACAAATTAATTCACCAGGATGTAATGGAAAAGTAAATTCCAGCCTTATTATATGTACCTGTGGGTTTTTTTTGTTGTTTTTTTTTTTAATCTTCACAGTACAAATATTCCAGACAAAAACAATCTGCGTTATCACTATCATCCTTCATTCCCAGAGCCCCCTGCCATGAACCTCAACTTATTGTGAGATGTGCTGTACTTGTAAGACAAATGCCTTCCTTCTGTCCTGCTGAAAAACATATTCCGACTGCCACGTTGTATACACCCTGAGTTACACTACTGCAGCTATTACTTCCACCTGTAAAACTGATGCAGTCCAGTACACCACTACTACACCATTACAAATTAGCATCAAATTAAATCTACACCTGTGTGACACCGTTTTATAATCTTTGCAGCGGTAGAGGATTTACTGTCTGTCAGATTCGATTGCACAAATGGACCGAATGAACTGGTAACACGGTGTCTCTGTCTATGATTAACATTGCACATCTACACATTCCACATATAGTTCTGCACATATGACACATATGACCTTTGACATAATGGGAATATCTGCCACACATTTTTAATGCAAATAGCATACATTTGTAAATAACTGGATTAAGTGGCAACAGATATTTGCATATACGCTTCAAGCTGTCAGTGAAGATGCCATATCTTAATGTTCCACTTGCTACAGCTACAGTGTTGCAGGCCAGCATGGGATATATTTCCACTTTAAAACTAGGTCCTTTATATCAGAGACTACTGGTCTTTCCCCAGGAGTTTCTCAGGCCCTCTCAACCATGTGCTGCTTCCAAGAAGGCCTCGCCACCTATTCTCAGCCTCCCTAGTCCCTTCACTCTGAGTTTACTTTATCTTTTGGTCCGTAAGCTTCATATTCTCATGCAGCCTCATCATTGTGAGACTTACATAACAAACTGTGGGCAGATTACATTATCACAAGTCACTTGCTGAATTATTATATTGTGTAATTTTCAACAGTGAACTTTGTTTTACCTCAACTGGAAACTTTGCTGGAATAAAAATAAGGCCAAGGTTACCAAATGACACCGAAATAAACACTAATGAGATCCGCTCAAGACATTCAGTTTTCATATTTTGGAAACTGTGTTTTGGAGAGGTTGCTGTCAGCCTTCAGTTGGGATTTGCTAGTGAAACTAGATTGAGTCAGAGGGGAGTTAAGCCATTTCTCCAAAAAGTCACACACGAACACTGCACAATCTGTTTGTATGACTTGTCTATTCCCTAGTCATTTTCATCTTGTTCATCCTTCCGTCCATCCAACCCTCTATCCATCCACCCATCCACCCATTCATGCACCCATCAGTTAATCTGTTATTTAGTCTTTGTTGGCAGGTTTCTCTGCTGTATTTATACCTGTTATTCCACTTCTCAGAACCAGTTTGGACAGTGGACACCTGCTGACTCCTCGCAGCAAAATGCTTCCTTGTGCACAAAGCAGGAAATTGGATATTACATACACACACCCACACACACACACACACACACACACGTTAGCTCACTAGGTGGCAAGTGTCCCAGAACCCTTCAGTCTAACTAATGGTTCGGATGTGTATGTGCGCGGGTGTGTGTGTTGGTCCGAGTGTTGAAAAAAAAAACAAAACAATGATGCTCTATGCCCCTCCCAGGACGGTTGTGCGTGGAAAGCCAAAAACCACACACACTCTAACTGTTGGTCTGCACTCATTGATATGCAATAAGCGCCCTGTTAGTGCCACCTAATTAAAGAGGTTTACAGTGTTACACTACATTATTTTGTGTCTATGTGTGTGTGTCTACTTGTACGTGAGAGAGATTTTTACCTGTTTACACAAATAAGTGTACACACACACACACACACACACACACACACACACACAGTGGGTGTCTTCTCCACAGAATGATTATTGATGAACCATCCCAGTGATGCATTTAGGTTGTTTACACTTTTAACTCATTTTCCCTCTCTCTCTCTCTCTCTCTCTCTCTCTCTCTCTCTCTCTCTTTCTCTTTCTCTCTCTCCGTCTCTCTCTCCATCTCTCTCTCTCTGTCTCTCTCCAGCTGCAAATACTGATAATCTTCAGTGGGTGTATTTGGCGGGGGGGGGGAGTAGCTTCTCAGCTCATGAAACTGACCAGGCTCATCCCGTCTCTTACTGACAGTCGCGGCTGATTTTCATTAAACATGAAGGGAATCTCTCCTGAATTTTAACCAAACGGTTGCAGTTGCCCAGATTTAACTGTTAATCTGTGAAGGAGATGGGTCAGAAAATGTTCCATCATTTTTGTTACAGTTAGAAAGGCTGTTTATGGAAGGTGCCAACAACTTATTTCGATGTGTTGTGCTGTGGATAGATTCTTGATGCATAAACACGCCTCATACCTCAGAGCCTTCACATACTCGAACCATTCTGAAGATCAATTTTCGGGTTTTGAGGCCGTCAGTCGAGCGCTTGTGTTTTTCAGTTTGACTTGGATATTTTGGAAAGATGAGTTTTCTGCTCTAGTTTAAAGAAATCGCGACAGTAGCTAGATATTGGCATTGGTTTAAAAATGATAATGCCGCTCCTGACTTTAATGTATTTAGTGATGAAGTTCTTATAATTACGTTCTCCTGCCAAGTGGGTATATTGTTTGGAGGAAGAACTGCACACATAGTCTGGCCAAAGCTGTACTGAAGTAATTAAGAGAACAGGTGGTGAAGAACAATTTTGACCTTGTTGTATAAGCAGGGAAATGTCTTCAAAATGTTCTGTGTGGTTGAATTCCTGTGTTATAGCCAGTGTGCAGTCACCTCTGGAACAAGCTGAATGACTAACGTGGTGCCCAGGTTGCTCTATAACACAGGTGGCTCTGTATACATGGGGTTTTTCTTGCACAGACATGAGAGCAGGCCAGAGGCTGTAGTCAAAGATGGTGGTGCTCATTGAAGGTTGGAGTCTCCTGTTTTACATCTCAATAAGCAGTGTGATTATCAGACGTGTCTGATCATTATTAGTAGATGGATAGATAAAAGAGCAGCTCGTCATTTCTTTGTTGAAGATTAATACTCTACATGTCGACACAGCCAGAGGTTACCTTAAGTGTGTGTGTGTGTGTGTGTGTGAGAGAGAGAGAGAGAGCGAAAGAGTTCATCTCAGTTGTTCAAGTAGTAATGTGTAGTGACAAATTGTATTAAATACATATTTAGACTACACTAGCCTACATTGTTGTGCTCTCCACCCATGATGCTGAACTTTATACTTTAGCTCTATGTGTACACAGTGGGGTACTGAATAGCAATGAGGCATGTGTTTGTGCATATATACTATATCCCTCGGGGCATATGCTGCTAGGTGCACACAGCCTTCAATCAAACTTTCACTTGAAACCTTAAAAGAAGATAAAAATCCACTGTCCTCTTCCTCCCCTGCATAGAAACAGTGTGTAGATTTCAGCACCATGGACAGAGCCTGCTCGTGCTCTCTCCATGCGCACTAATTTGATGCTTTATGTGAACATCAGCTTGTGTCAAATTGTGTCGCCATTTTAGCAGATTTTTGGGCCATTTAACCGAGATCAATAATGAGGAAGGAAGGAGAAGAAAAAAAAGAAAATATCCTGCCCTTCCTCTGACAAGATGCCTAACGCACAGAGGGAGGGAGACAAGAGGAAAAAGACCAATAATAGGAGGAAGTGTCTCCCCCTCCAGCTGCTGTTTGAAATGTGGGCCACTGATGGCACTTGGTGAATAAGGCCCCATAAATCCACTTGAACTCATTTCACTCAGGTCTTTGAACTGAGATAAATCTATTAAGTGTAAATTGATCTGGCTTGTGGTCCTATATGTTGTTTGATGTTCACTTGTCACAGGTAATCCGTGTTTTTCTTTATCACAACAACTGTTTCACTTGTACACACACGGCCCACTGCAGCTGTGTGCAGGAGTGCAGTGATCAACAGTTCAGATGTAACTGAGAAATAACTTTTTTTTATTTTATTTTGTTTTTACCTCACTTTGGCGCGTGAACTCCCTCTGCACAACGCTGACGACTGGCACCTGAAGCGCCAGCGAGACGAACTCTAACTTGACGAACTCGTCCCGGTTCCGTGGGAAGGCGATCATGGCGGATACCCCCTGCACAACCACAGTGTGACACACGCTCTCCACGAAGGACAGCGGGTCCTCATTCTCGGGGCTACCCGCCGAGGAGAAGGAGAACGCGGGCAGCTCTCCGAGTCCGGACCCCACGGCCATGACCAGCTCCAGGGACAAATTATAGGGCAGTAATCCGGCCCGGTTCAGAGCCTCGACGGCGAGCAGGACCGAGTCTCGGGGTGCGAACACCCGGTTCTCCCTGGAGATGTTCTCCTCCCGCTGCCGTGCCTGGCTCTTACTCCTGTTCGCTCCCCTTTGGCTGTTAACGGTGCCTCTAGTCCTGAGGCTGCCGTATCCAGGCGCACTGGCACTTGTTTTAACCTGCTTTTCCAACTTCAGCCGCCGCTCTGCGCTCCCCGTCAAGCCTCCCTCGGCTTCCCAGTCCTCAGAACCGCTGCCAGCAGTGGCGGAAAACAAGCGAGGCTGAACGTGCAGAGCCCCGACCCGAACCGTGTGGCCGATCCGTTTCAGCACCTGGCACGGCTGCGGGTGCGAGTGAGCGCACGGCGGGAGAAAGACGAGAGCGCACAGTAGTAAACATAATGGTGGCGAAACCCCGGTGCCCGCTCGAGACGCAGGGCCATTCATCATCATCATCACCACCGTCTTCATCATCCCCGCTCCACAGCTGCACCGAATGCCCCGTCCAACCACAGACCGGCCGAACACCGGGGCCGCTCCGTCGGTCCCCCTCCTGGCACCCCACGTGTGGCCCTGGTGCGCCGCTCAGACCAGCTGTAGCTCCAGCTCCAGCTCCAGCCCCAGCTCCAGCTCCAGCTCCAGCTCCAGCCCCAGCTCGCGGTAAAGTTGTGCGTTTCTCCACGGACACAGACAACAGGCTGCTGAGGCGCGAGATCAGGCACGAGCCGCGCACAAGCAAAAAATGATCCCCAAAAGTGCTGTTTTTCATCTCAAAAGATTTCCATCATTCAAGCCTTTTGATTACTAAACAGGTCGCGGAATCAAACGGTCAAATGTGCACATATTCCAGTGGCAGAAAAAAAAAGCATGAAGCAGAGTGTGTAGGCAAGCCCAGAGGAGGAAATGTCGAAAAAAAGGTTAATGCGCATCAAACACATTCCAAAACAGGGGGAATCCACCACTGGAAACATCTGATGGCTTCGAAGGAAAATGATCCCATTATCATCCAGAGCTCAGGAGCCAAGACCACATCACTTCGACCCGATACTGGAGATAAAAAAGAAAATAATCTTTTTCTTTTTTATTTCTTTTTCTTTTTTTTTTAACCCCCCCCCCTCTCTTGTTAAACACCCAAGTAGAAGCTTTCCAGAGCTCAAGTCACCCTCTGTACTGACACTTGTACAGGCGAGACCTCCGGCACGAGAGCGCGGTCTTCTGCGCACGTTCCAATATGACTTAACCCCGTCCTCACTTTGCCCCCACCCACCCCCTTCAACCATGCCAGGGGGAGAGGTCGTGAATGAGGAGGCTAAGTTGCATAACGCAAAATACACAAAGACAAAAGCAAGCAACCATAGATGGATGGATGGATGGATGGATAGATAGATAGATAGATAGATAGATAGATAGATAGATAGATAGATAGATTGATTCTCACTGCTCCAATCAGAATTGAGGATGAGTCTGGATGCAGACCTTATGCATCTGATCAGCTGATTTCCACTGGAGCTTTAGCTTCATGCACAGAGCCACAAATCTCATCTTGTTCACATGGAGCAACTTCATATAGCTGAGTGAATTTACTGTTAGTGTTTGATGGAAGTAAAACCTCTGCAAGTCGAGCAAACCTTGACAAGTCATGGACCAAGAACACAGTAATGCATTCATTTATAGAGCAACCATGCAATATGTGCTCATATTCCACTGTCCCTGTTGCTCCCTGGTGCGTGCGCTCAGCTAATTTCAACAGCCCCCTGCTCTTAATGAGATTGTTTTATTTAATCATATCTAAGGACACCCAATTAGATCATTAACAGTGCTGAAGGAGCCAATGTTTAACTGATGTGCTCTCCGTTGTTGTGGTAACCCCACAGGTCAGGGGTCACCATTGACCCAATCAGCGGCCTCAGTTTAAATAGCGACCTAGATTAATGATTGGTTAATGGTCTGATCAAGATTAATGATTGGCTATAATGGTCTGGCTTGAAATGAGAGGCACGCCTACCGGGCTATTGGAAGATCAATGACCCTGATCGATCCGATACAGCCTGACCTCAAAGTATGGGACAGGAAGGGAAGGCGAGAGAGGCAGAGAGGAGAGATTTTGACAGGAGGGCAGGAAGAGGAGGAGGAGGAGGTGGTGATGGATGGGGGGGGGGGCAGAGATGATGGAGAGCCCAGAGGGGCATAGGAGGGTATGGTAATGTGTGGGATTGTGGCGAGGAGAGGAGGGAGATGAAGAGCAGATGATGTGGAGGTGAAGGGAAGGAGTGTGGAGAAGTGAAGAGTGTAAGGACAGGAGGGGAAGAAAGAGGAGAAGAGGCGAAGGAAGACGGAATGAGTGGAGAGAGAGCCTGCAGCCTCTTTAAAGAATCAAGGCTATTGCAAAAACAGAGAGAGAGAGATTCTTGAAGAAGATGAAGCAAAAACAGAAGGAGGGGGGGAGAGAAAATTGCATTGAGAGCAAGATTCAAGGTGAGATTTAAGAGGGAATCTTTGAAAGAGCCATCATAGTTATTGTTGCGCCAAAAAAAAAAAAAAAAGGCAATTCTGTTTTTTTTTTTTTTTTTTCCTATAACATTTTGCACTGTGTTGGAGCGGGATATCAGACAGCCATATGCTGCATAGGGCTTTCAAAAAAGGCTTCAGAGTCAGAATGTTAATTCTAGTTCCAGCTCTTGATGAAAAGACAGTTTAATCAGACAAATGTTGAAGATTACCTCTGCCATTTGAATTGAGCTCAGTGGAGGAAGTTCCCACTTTCAAATTTATTTTCAGCACAGTCATATTCTCGCCTGGTGTCCTCATGGGCCCCTCAGAGGAGAGTTGTACATTTAGGGACTGTATGATAATTCATCTGGGAGGGTATTGTCATTTTTATTTTAGCTGAAAGGAAGATAACCTTGAATTTTTGGGGATATTTTTTTTTATTTCTTATTTATGTCTCTCCTTGTGAAACTTGCTGTAGGCTGTAAAAAAAAAAAAAAAAAAAAAAAAAAAAAAGAAATCACATAGTTATTTAAAAAATGGCTTTTCGTTGCTATATGTTTTTGACATATGCAGACTCCAAACCATCTGTGAGTGGACATGAACTATTTCCTGACCGTTTATATTTATGGGGTGTGATGTCTGGCTCAGCTGTCTGGAGGAAACAATGTGTTTTCATACAGTCCCTTTTAAAGGAAGTAAATGCCAGTTTCTCATCAGGGCTTGTTTTTAATGTTTTAATTATGTTTTCTTCACATTAAATGCAATGAAACCTTGACCAAAACTTCACCTGAGAGGATGATGTTCAAGTGTTTGTCAGTGTTCTTCCAGCACCGCAGGGTCTTTCTAACTAACTTTTCTAACTTTTTTGTTTTTCCTCTTGGCTGCTGCTCTGTCTCTGCGTCCACTTTCGATTTCTTTATCTCCAGTAACTTCCTGTTTTTCTCTCTTTTGTCCCGCCAGGCGTCTTCCTGTCTTCGTGCTTGGGAGCTGATCTGATTTCACATGCATGCCCGCCTGCCTCGTTGACACACCTATAAGTCTGCCCCCTCTCTTTTGTCCCCCGTCTGAATATCTGTCTGACCCCTTGTCTGATTGAATTTTCATCCATGTTCCCGTGTGTCTGCTTTGGCTGTCTGATGTGCTGGCCATTTCCCTCACCTGTCTGCGTTTCCCGCTGAACTGCCCACCTGTCTGTCTTCTTCCTCCTCTGCCGGCGTCATTGCGTAACTGTCTGCATGTCTGTCGCTCTGCCGCCCTACCCCGCTTGTCTCTCTCTGTCTCTGTCTCTCTCTCTTAGTCTGCTTGCTGTAAAGTGACTCTGCAGTCTCTTCTGACCCTTACACCTGCCAACCACATTCTTCCATGGTTCAATTCTCCCTCCAGCAGCAGAGCGTATGAATAGATGAAACCTGAAGGCACAACCCCCCCCCCCAAAAAAAAAAAAAAACAACCAAAAAAAAAAACAAGGTTAAAGCACCTGTTAGACACACACCTGATCACACAGGTCTACATGCACCAGCACACACAGAGATCATAGACAGATATCCCTCCATACATACAGGTACACTGATTTACATGATCACATTCTCTAGAGGCCACTGTATTCTGTCTTTTGTTCCTCTGGAGGGAGGAAGAGCTTTCAACCAAACAATTATTTCAATTATTTATACATTTAAAGATCAAAATGTGTGTTTTTTTTTTTTTTTTAAGTTACAAATGCAAAAATGAAGTGACTTGATATTGTCTGACACTTTTTATACTTTTTGAGAGAGACGCAAGAAGTTCAGATTAGGACTGAGATCCAAATGGAACATGATTAGTGTTCAGTCTGCCCTTGCACTCTGACTAACGCAACACAGCACAACTATTTGTCTTACTCGGGTTTGCGTGGAAGCCTTGATTCAGTCGAGCCAGCATGAGCAAACGTCTGATTTTAATGATTTAATCCCCCTCATCTGTCTGTTGTCACAGCATCGAGCTGCTGCCATAAGTTTTCATCAAATACTCGTATTGTCTGAAGGAATGGATGGATATGGTGCATGACTGTCGGAAAGAAAAAAAAACAAAACAAAAAGAGAAGAAAAGGATGGTCTTTAAAGGGACTGAGGCATAGAGCAGGTGCAGTGGATTTTGTGGAGGGGGGGGTGGGGTGGGGGGGGGGGCAGTGGCTGACCTGCCAAAGCAAACAATTAAAGTGATCAAAAATAAGACAAAAAAAAAATCAATTGTATGAGTGTTTGGATGAGTTTCTTTTCTCCTATCTACTATAATATTAGTCAATACTGATGATCAAAATAACATCTGACAAATGGAAAACAAGCAAATGAAAAATAAAACATTATAAATAAGTAATGTAAACTTAAAAAAAAAAATACAGTGAAAATACTGCATGGGTGATGTTACCATGGCTGGGACCTCATGTGTTCATGTGCGTGGCTCTGGTCTTAAGAACATACTCCAGGTTTCTTTAAAGGCTGATATATTCTTTCAGTATTCTCTCTATTGAAATGTGGTCTGTAAGTAGGTTAATCCAGGGAGTGATAAGATTTCCCACATCTTCAGTTTTGAAAGATTATTTTCTAAGCGATGGTTAAAGAAATGAGTAATGGGTTTTTCTGTATTTAGTTGGGAGGGCAAGTCGTGTAATATCTCCCAGCAGGCAGAGTGATGGGGACGATGGGATTCTGCAAGCTCGAGATAGTGGAGCGTTTAGTGGAGCCTCAGTTACTGTTAAGAGGGTGAACTGGTTGGCTGGCCCAAGTGGCATGAAAATAATTATCTGTGCTGCCCAAAGTGCAGTGTGAACAGGTGTCTGTGTGTTGTGTGTTGTGTGCTGTGTTTAGTGGTCATAGAGAAAATGATTTTTTTCTTTTACAGATTTGTATCCAGAACTCGGGGTTGGGAGAAAGAGCCAAGTCATTTTCTCATTTTGTGGGTGTAATGGAGGAGCTGAGATTCATACAAGTTTCTAAAGTTTTGAGAGG